TTCTTCTTCTTCTTCTTCTTTTTCTTCTTCTTTTTCTTCTTCTCCTCTCGTCTTCTTAGTCTTCCCCTCGTCCCCCTCGCATTCTCATCTTCCTCCACAACCTTCCTTCTGCTTCTTCGTCTTTCCCTTCTCCACCACTCGTTTTCTTTTTCCTCCTCTTCTTCTTCTTCTTCTTCTCTCTTCTGCTCGATTCACTAGGTCTTCTTCTATCCTCTTCTTCTTCTTCCCGTCCTTCCCTACTCCCTCCCTGCCTTTCTCCATCCTCCCATCCATCCATCCCTCCCTCCATCCCATCTCGCCATCCTCCATCATCCATCATCCATCCACCCATCCATCCATCCCTTCATCCCATCTCGCCATTCTCCATCCTCCATCCTCCATCTCTCCCTCCCTCCATCCCATCTCGCCATCCTCCATCATCCCATCTCGCCATCCCTCCCTCCCTCCCGTCTCGCCATCCCTCCCCCCCTCCATCCATCCATCCATCTTCTTCTTCTTCTTGGACATTGTTAAGCAGTCTCCCTCCCTCCCATCTCGCCATACCTCCCCCCCTCCATCCATCCATCCATCCATCTTCTTCTTCTTCTTGGATCTTGTTAAGAAGTCTCCCTTCATCCCTCCATCCTCCCATCTCGCCATCCCCCCCTTCATCCCGCCATCCTCCCATCTTGCCATCCCTCCCCCCTTCCATCCATCAATCCATCTTCTTCTTCTTGGACATTGTTAAGCAGACTCCCCCCATCCCTCCATCCTCCCATGTCACCATCCCTCGCCCCTCTCCATCCCTCCATCCCCCCATCTCGACATCCCTTCCCCCTCCCTTCCATCCCTCTATCCTCCCATCTCCCCATCCCTGCCCCCCTTCATCCATCCATCCATCCATCTTTGTCTTCTTCTTTCTTCTTCTTCTTCTTCTTCTTCTTCTTCTTCTTCTTTTTCTTCTTCTTCTTCTTCTTCTTCTTGGACGTTGTTAAGCAGTCTCCCTCCATCCTCCCATCTCGCCATCCCTCCCCCCCTCCATCCATCCATCCATCCATCCGTCCATCCTCGTCTTCTTCTT